CCGAGTCGGGTACCTCGGTTACCACATGCCCAAAAATATACTCAACATTTATACAACAAGCCGTTGCACTTTAGTTCCAAATTGGTTGTACTTTATAACAACGGATCTCAATTTGGCACGACAAATATAAGTAAACAACTACCGTAACATGCTAATATGCCAACACGCGACGTTTACTGGAGAAGACGTACAATGAACATACAATATCAAAAAACGGAGATATATGTACCAACGCTAAATGCATAAAAAAAAAAAAATCCGGTTCAAGCAATGCACCAATGCACCAATATAGCCACAAATAACGACACTTTTTTTAAAAAATAAAAAATAAAAAATAAAAATAAAAATTGAGGGCATATCTAATGCCCATGTGTATGCACATTACACAGATTGTAATGCACATTACAACTGATTTCGTTGCAATTTACAAACCGTATCACTGCACCTTACTAACTACCAACATAAATATCTATGCAAAAACCATAACGCATGATATACGACGACCGTGCATACTATTTCATCACCCACCAAAAAAACGATAGAAAAAACAAAGGGAACAATTAAAAACGTCCTAACATAACAATATCCACCAACACGTTAACCGTCGTGAAATTACCAATCGTCATAACATACCAACATGAGATAAAAAAACAGTCATAAACGTACCAACATACATACGTACAAAAGATGTTCAAAAACAGTGATAATCATGCATCGAAACAATATGTAAGCCGTCCATAAAATGCAATATCCAACCCAACATGTCAAGAAACAACTGGTGTCTTCACCCCCTCGTATAGCTCCTGAAACTTTCGTGCTGCCACGAGGTTGGCATCTTTCGCATCATTGTTTGGAGCACACGCTATCACATAGCAATATCGCTTTCTCATAAGCTTCAGCTGCCCCTTGTCAACCTTCTTCATATCTTGGTTCCAGTTTTTCGTAATGCGCCCTTTAAACGTCTCCATGAGACGCATTGTTATAACGCCTGCATCCGCGTCATCAAAGTCTTCAGACCACTCCAAACTGACAACCTCCGGGATTGAAAGTGCGACGGCTTTTGAAAATTTCACCATATTCGTATGTCCCAAATACTTAGCAATGTTTGTACCGTTTTTGTCGTGATTTTTCTTATTGTTCTGTCATTATTTTTGTATCATTTCATGTCGTTTATTTCATTATTCATGCGATTAATATTGTATTGAGTGTTT